ATCTGTGCACAGCTGGGCACACCTGGGCACTCCTGGTGCACACCTGGGCACATGTGGAGCACAGCTAGGCACACCTGGAGCACAGTTGGGCACAGCTGAACACACCTGGTGCACACCTGGGCACTCCTGGTGCACACCTGGGCACACCTAGAGCACAGCTGGGCACTCCTGGGCACACCTGGCTCAGCTGTGGTGGGTGGTGGCCACGGACAGGTATCACCTGGCCACACACCCCGGGGACCCCTCAGGTCCCCCAGGCCGTGCGGGGTCGGGGCTGCTCCCCCAGGGTGGGATCCCCACCCGGAGCAGGGGGCTCCAGGGACTTGTCCCACCTCCTTATCCCCTGGGGAAGGTGGCAGAGGTCGGGCAGGGTGTCCCCGTGCGGTGGGACCCCCCCGTCCCCCTGTCCCCCCACCCCGGTGCCCGCTTAAAGTGCTTTGTTCCGCCCCGGGGTGGGGGCTCGGGCAGCCGTGGCCTCCCCTCCCCGTTTCACACCCTCACCCTCCGGCCCCTCCGGCACGGCCGGGCACCCCCCGGCCCCTCCTGCCTCCCCCCCGTCCCCCGGGGGGTGGTGGCAGCGGTGACTCCCCCCCGGGAGGCCACCGAGCCCTCGGCCGGCGAAGGACGCGGCGCGGCCGTGGCGTCACCGACCACCCACCGCCGAGGCCCGGCCGGGGCGCGGGGGGTCCTCTCCTCCTGCCGGGGGGCTCCCGGGACGCTCGGGGGGCTCCCGCTCGGCTCGGGGGGTGCCGGGGGCGTCTTCGGCGGGCGCCGTTTCCCCCCCTGGCGCGCGGGGCCGGGGGGTGAAGGTTGGAGCTCCTCTTTGCTCGAAGCTGGTGGGACTGGTGGAGTGAAGCTCTGAGAGCTCTTCGAATAAACAGAAAAAAAAAAAAAAACACAAACGGCGGGGCGGGAGGGCAGGAGAAAAACCAAACCAACAGCGATCCAAAGGAAAGGAAAAGGGAGAAAGCAAAGAAAAAGAGAGAGAGGGAGAGAGAGAGAAACAGAAAGTGGCTGGTTGGCCATTGCGGAGCGAGATGGGAGACGGGAGTCGGGCCGTGGCGAGCGGAGGCGAGACACAAGTCGGGCCGTGGCGGAGCGGAGGCGAGACACGAGGTCGGCCACAGTGGAGCAAGACATTGATAAAACAGAAAGAGAGGGAGAGGTGGCGATCCCTCCAGGTGCCTCAAGAAGACAAAGTCCCAGGGAGGAAGAGGAGCCCAAGGAAGAGAGAGGCCCGGCCCCCCGGGAGCGGTTGGGTTGGAGCTGGCAAGGATGCTCAGAATGAGATGGAGGAGTTCCTTGCCCCAAAGGAAGTCAATACGGGGATGGATGTTCTGCCAGATGCGGGTTTTTCTGAGACCGTGGGGGAAGTCTCACTGGCCTCTTTAGATGGTCTAGTGGCCTAGAAAGAAAAGCAAGATTCAAGGAGCAGGAGGAGGAGGAGGAGAATGGGGAGGAAAGTCAAAAAAACAGCCTCAATAAAAAAAAAAAACACCAAAAAAAAAAGACAAAGAAAGGAAACAAGAAGAAGAAGAAGAAGAAGAAGAAAAAAGAACAGGACAGAAAAAACCCAAAACGACCAAGAACCAAAGGGAGTCTGTTCAGAAGCAGCATTGAGTCAGGCCTGAGGTCAAGCAGCTGGAAAAGGGCCACCACAAACAGCACGAGATGAGCTGGTCCCACGCGTTACTGGACGGGAAGGGGACGACCCCGAGAGCAGAGACGGACGGACGGACAGACGGCCACGAGGACAGACAGGCACACACACACACACACACACACACACACACACACAGGCGGAGGGGAGAGGGGGGAAAGGCAGGGGGGGACAAGAAGGGCAGTGTTAGACCAGGCACAGCACCTGGGGTGACGGTGCCCACCCTGTCCCGCCGGGACATCGCACTGCGGGGGCACCACTGGCACAGCCAGGACCCCACCCGGCTCATCCAAGAGCTGGTCCAGGGCTCCGGGAGGGAATGATGCTCATAAACCCTCACGGAATGGGGAGAGGGAGCTTCCAGCCCTGGGCTGCTGGACAGGGGGAGGGACGTGGAAAATTCCTGCCCGAGGAGAGGGCAGTGAGGGCAAAAGTGACACGGAAAACTCGTGCTCTGGCCACCCCAGCGAGGGCATGGGGAGGTGCCAGGGGCCAGGTGACTGACAGGGAGGACCACGGTGACACCGAACAGCCAGGACTGTCCGGGGTGTGGCCTCCAGGGAAGGGGACTTGGTGGCCTCCCTGAGGTGTCCGGGGCCAGGAGATGCTCCCCAGCCCCTTGGAACTCCCAGCACAGCCCCTCTGGCCGGTGTTTCTCCACGGCCCAGCCCTGGGACAGGGGGCAGAGGGGACCCTCTGCCTCTCCCTGATTCTGCAGGATGTGGAACCCCACGGGCACCCCCCATATCCCAGGGGGGACTGGCAGGGAGACCCCGACCTTGAGGATGGACCCTCCCTGGGGGTGACTTGCCACTGTGAAGGACCCAGGTGATGGAACAGCCAAGGGTGGCACTGAGCCCTCTTGCCACAGCCAAAGGGGGTGCAAGATGCCCGTTTTGCTCATGCAACATTTGCCCAAATTGCACGAAATCCCCCCCAGTCCTGCTCCAAGTAGCTGGTGAAAAACCTTTGGGTTATCCAACAGGGTTTATGGATCCAACAGAACGAGCAGAATCGGGTTTATTGGACGGGGTGTTTTTTTGATGCCAGGCCCCTGGAAGGGGATCAAGACACAGAGCAGGGAGTGGGGGGAGAGGAGGGGGTGAGCGCACTCGTGCTGCCCACTGAGGGGGAAGGGGCTGTTGGGAGGGGGGGAGAAGAGGTGAGGAGGGAGGGAGGGCACTGAACTGGCCGTGGTCCCTTTGCCCGTGGCCTGAGCAAGCTGGGAATCCACGGCCAGCCCTGGGGTGTCAGCAAGGACAGAGCAGGAGCTGCCCCCGGGGATGGGAGAGGGGTGGGTGCTGGGTGCTGGGTGCTGGGTGGGGGGGACGCTCCATCCCATCCCAAAATGCTTCTCTTCCAGCTGCTGTGGCCCACTCACCCTCTCCCCACGCTGCCAGGCACCCCAAATACCATCACCCTGCCTGTGACCCCCCTCCCAGGATAAGCTGCTTCTGCGGTGCACGGAGGGTCCCGGCTCCCCAAAACCCCCCAGGACGGGCTGGGCAGCCCCAGCCGTGGTAAGTGAATCCCCCTGGAGCCCCTGTGCCAAGCACACGGCTCTGCCACGCTCATCACCGTGGCCAAGGAGCTCTTGGGGTCCCCCAGGGCAAGGGGACCGACGCTGGGGCTCAGCCCTTCCAGTGGGGACAGACAGGGCTGGGGGACAAACCACTCTGGCTTCGTCCTCACACCACACTGGGGGTGAGTTTGTCACTGCCAGCAGGAAATCATGCCCCTGTCCCCCACAGGTGGGCACAGACCACGGCAAGAGCCCCTCCTGCACCCCAACATCCACCCCCCTGTGCCCCCCAGCCCCACCAAGGCGAAGGAGGCTCCGAGAGAGCCCGTTCTCCAAAAACACCACCCTCAGGGTCTCCCGTGCCCCTCGCCCCGACTCAGGCCATGCCCGAGGCGATGCCAGGGCCGTGGGCAGTAGGGATGGACTACCTGCTGCTGGCCCTGGATGCGCATGTACTCCATCCGCTGCTTTATGTGCTTGCTCTTGTCGGGGCTGCCCTGCTGGCTCTGCTTCAGCCGCGACGCCGGATTCACCACCTTCATGGCCGGGATGGACACGCCGCCGCTCTGCCGGGACACAGGACCGGGGGGAAAGGGTTAAAACCCGCAGGTGAAGCCCCCACCGGCACCGTTGGCAGCTTGGCACGGGATGCCCAGAGCTGTGCCGAGCCCCCCCTCGGCGGCACCGCCGGGATGTCCCTGCCCGGGGTGGCAAAGGCGGGCGAGGACGAGGCCACCGGCTCCTCGTGCCAAGGGAGCTCCGGCGGGAGAGCTCCCAAACCACCCAGGACTTACCAGGAAGCCACCAAAGAGGGACAGACACGGCAAACACCGGGAGACGGAGGGCAGGAGGAGAACACCCCGCCGGGGCAGGGGTGCACGGCCAAGAGAGGGGGAAAGAGGCGACGGCAGGCAGAAGCAGATTCCAGGTGGGAACGGCGGCAGTGGGAATACAGAGGTGTTTATTGACTGGCTGGGCACAGGTGGGCACGCAAAGTCTTGCAAGAGCAGCGGTGAGGGATGTGGTACCTGCACACACACCCCCCCTAAAGCGGTGCCTCACGTGTTCCCCTGTGCCCAGGGCACCCCAGATCCTCCCCCTGCCATCACCTCCTGCCTGCCCCGTGCCAACGGGGAGAGCCAGCAGGTCACCAGGGTGAGGCCAGGCTGGTGACTCCATGCAGGGACAGCTCTCTGCCTTGTCTGCCCCTCTGTGACCCTCAGTGGTCCCGTGGAGGGGTCACAGGGATTCCTGCACCCCACAGAATCGTGGAATATCCTGAGCTGGAAGGGACCCACGAGGATCACCGAGGTCCAGCTCCTGGCCCTGCACAGTACACCCCAATAATCCCACGTGTGCCTGCACCACACCACTCCCGACACAGCAGGCACTGGGAACCTTCCCAACCAACAGAGCATCCTTGGAAGGTGACACAACACCTGCCCTGCTTTAGGACGGGCTCAGTGCAGCCTCTCCAGCCTAACCCTGAGCTTTGCTCTGTGTGCACCCACACGTGTCACAGTCACAGCCATAAATCCAGCCCGCAGCTCCACTCCTATTTTCCCAGGCTCCAGAGGTGCAGCGGGAGCCAACAACAGGAAAAAATGCAGCTACACCCACTTGCCAGCCCATTCACCCAGCGAGAGCACCCCGGCACTGCTGGGAACCAACGGCTCCAAATGGGAAAGGAGATTTATTCCCCCAGTGCTGACTGTTAATAAAGGAGCAGGTTGATGTCAGAGCAGCTCGGGGCATTCCCCCCCCCCCTTCCTTTTCCCAGCTATTCAGCTGGATTCCAGCAGAAAGCAATTTGGATGCCTTCAGGGAGCCCGCGCTGTGATTTAATTAGGAGAAACATCTGCCAGGCTCCAACTGCAGTTCATTAGGGAAGTGTTTATGCAAAACGGGGAAACGAAGGACGACGCTTCGTCACCCACAGCACCTGGCCCTCGCTGCATCCCACGGGATGCTCGTCATGGACCCCGTGGGATGCTAATCATGGATCAAATGGGACGCTCGTCACGGACTCCGTGCTCATCACCAGCCCCAAAACCTGCCAGGGCAGAGGACACCACCCTATGCAGGGTCTAATTGAGGATGGGACCAGGCAGCACTGCCTGGCACCATCTCCCTTCCTGCTGCCGACTCCTCCCTCAGCTCATTCCTGCTTGCCTGCAATTCCCAAACCCCTCCAAGTGACAGGGAGGAAAGGAGGTCGGTTTTCCACCTCGGCTCTGCCTGGAGGTAGAGTCACAGAGAGGGAGCAGGTAGAGGTGGAGGAAGAGACATCAGAGTGAGTCCAGGGCAGAGCACGGCAAGAGGGATAATAGAAAATAAACCTGCGGGATGCCGGGGGGCAGCTGCGGCTTGGGGAGCAGCGGTGGCTTGGTCTTGCTTGGGGATGGGCTCCTGGGAGCATCATCTTTGGCCTGGCTGAGGTCCAGCACAGTCCCATCATCACAGCTCCTCTGGCTGAGGTCCCCCAGACCCTTCCTGGTCTCCTTGCCGGCCTCCTTGGGTCCCGCTGGTCCCAGCAGGTCTTTAGGGAACATTGACTCCACCGAGGGGTGGCTGCTGATCTCACTGATGGTCATTTCCAGCTCTCGGATCGTCTCTTCCAGGCTATCCAGTCTCTGGTACGTGTCTTCATAAATCTCCTTGCTGCCCGGAGTCGCGGGGCGGCGAGGGGACACCGGCCCTTGGCAGAGCCCCTCCGGCACCTTCCTCCCCATTCTGGTGTCCCCCCCGGCAGCTGGAGCCCCTCCATCCCATCCTGGAGTCGCTGTGCCACAGCCTGGCCTTGGGCACACCGTGACCTGCTCCGGGGGATGCTCAGCCTGGAATGGTCCCTTTCCCTGCGGGGTCGGATCCCTGCCCAGGAAAGCTCCTGGATTTGGCACTGGGCAGGCTGGGGCTGGTTTGGAAGCCCCAGCAGAATCTCCAGGAGGGAGTGGTGCCTCCTGCACGCTCTGCCTGGCTCCTCCTTGGGGGTCCCCACCACAGGGAATTTGGAGGATGATGCCACCGGTGGAGGGAAGTGCGGCCCCTCCAACTCCGGCACCCCCCCAGGGCTGAGGAGGCTGTGCAGCCACGGGACCTTGGTGACAAGTCTTGCTGCTGCCTCCTCTCCTGCTGGCAGCGTTCAGAGCCATGTTCCCTCCTCGCCCCCCCGTGGGGTGGCTCGTTTTATCCCTTGGGAAAGAGAACCCCCAAATCTCTCCCGCTGCACGAGCACGACCCCGACACGAGCTGCTGGGGGGCTGCGGGGCTGCAGCTGGGGGGTGCCCATGTGCCAACGGAGACTTTTCGGGGCCGCCAGGAGCCACAGGGCCTTTCCTTGCTCCCTTGGGTGCAAACTCCCCTCCTGCTCCTCCGCTGCCCGTTTCCACCCACACCTCCGGCTCGGCTTCGGGGGACGGCGGCTCCGACACCCACTCGGTGAGCACAATCTGTGGGAGGGAGAAAGCCCGGCTCCCTGGGACTGCCAGGGCCAGCGGCTCCTAGGTAGAGAATTCAGACAGATTAGGAGCCAGAGGGGGGAGCAGGAGCTGCTGGGGGGCCACTGAGTGTCCCCACACACCACCGGGGTCCTGCGGTGCCGGTGCCTCCGGGCATTGCTGCCGGGAGGTGTTCGGGCAGGGAGGGGATGCTCATCGACCCTCCTGCCCAGCCCTGGTGCCCCACCAGCACCCCCAGCACAGACTGGGACTGGTTTTATCGTGCTCAAGGTAAGCTGGGCCTGGGAGACTTTGGCAATGAATCTCCAGGGGTTTAACCGGCAAAAACGCGTCGGTGTCGCTGCACCTCCCTAACGCCTTTGGAAATCCGACTGCCACCCTCCAGCTTGGATTTCTCCATGCTGGTGTAAACTGGCACAGCGTTGGTGCCAAGAGCAGAGCCCAGCTCCTGGCAGAGCTTCAGCAGGGGATGAGCCACCACAAACGAGCCGCCGAGGGGCAACCGGCCTTTAAAACCCTGAGTAGCAAGAAGTCAGTTGGAAAATGCTGCTCTTCCTCCCCCACCTCCCTGTTCCCATCCCCAGGGAGATCCAACGAGCCATGCAGTGCCCGAGGAGCCAGAGCCAGCTGTGCCCTCCATGGAGCCGAGGGCAGGTGAGCTGGAGAGGTGCCCTGGTAGAAGAGGTGCCCCTGCAGCTCCCCCCAAGCCTGGGGCAGAGAGGGAGGGAAACCCCTGTGCTGGGATGGCCACGGAGCTCTGGGTCTGGAGCTGGACACACCTGACCTCTGAAGAGGGGTCCTTGCATGCAGGGACAGATGGACAACTCAGCCCTGATGTCCCAGGAGAGGGAAGGGATCCAGCAGGACCCCTGCAAGGTGCCCAGACTCCCCAGCAGCAGGTGAGGCAGAGCTCCCCTCACTCGGTGCCTTCTGGCAGCAGCAGGACCCTGTTGTTCCCCTGCTCTGGGCACCCCCTACTCCATCCCATCCACTCTCCAGGCACTTTCCTCCTGCTCTCCCCACCCTGGAGCCCAGGACAGAGGGCAGGAAGGTTGGGAGGGAGCCAGGGCCAGGCCCAGGTAGAGCCCAGCCCTTCACCTTCTGCCCTCATCATGCACAGCCAGGGGGGTCTCCCATGCATCGCCCACCAGTGACATCCCCTGGGCACCCAGTGCAGGGTGAGAGCAGCCAGCCCTCCCTGTGCCGTGCCCACAGTGGTGCTGGGGTGGCCCCTTCCTTCCTCCCACCCCGACCTGGCCCTCACAGGAGCCACGAGGCCGTCGGGTGGGTCAGTGCTGGGTCCTGAGCCGTGTCAGTGCCGGCCACGCAGAGACGGTGAGCGAGGGGGTGGAGAGAAGCCATTAGTTTGTTAAACCAGAGGAAGAAGCAGAAGTGAGTTAAAGAGAGGCAGGAGAGGAGGTGGTGAAGGTGCAGCCCCGTTACCTTCCATCCTTGGGCTGCAACGGAGGCTCCGTTGGGCCACAGCTCTGCCAGCCCAGGGCAGATGGCCACGAGCGGCTCATGATGGAGCTTGGGGAGGAAAGGGGAGGCAGAGCTTCTCTGAAACACCTGGGGAGTCAAACACGGGGGTTGGAGGAGGGAGGCTTGGGGTAAGGAGGACGCAGCCCCTGCCTGCAGGGATGGGACTGCCCCACCACGACTGGGGCTTGGCAGCGAGCGAAAGAAGCTTTGGCTGTTATCAGATGCAGAGGCAGCCTTGTCCCCTCTGCTGCTGGCAGTGTCACTGCTCCCCAGGCCTGCAGCAGCACCACTCCTGCCTGCAGCATCACCAGCCCCTTGCCTGCACCAGCCCCCTGCCTGCAGCATCACCAGCCCCCTGTCTGCAGCATCATCAGTCCCCCCGCCTGCAGCATCACTGGTCCAGTCCCTCTGCCTGCAGTATCATTAATCCCCCTGCCTGTACCATCATCCATCCCCTGCCTGTACCACCACCTGTCCCCTGTACCATCACTAGTCCCACCTGCACCATCATCCATACCCTGCCTGTACCATCACCTGTCCCCTGCCTGCACCACCACCAGTTCTCCTGCCTCCTGGGGGAAAACCCGCCATGGAAAAGCCATCCCTGGCCCACTCGGGCACCTCCACGGCAGTAAACAGGGGCAGGATGTGGGGCACAGCAGAGCCCGAGGGTGGCATTTCAGGGGGTACCTCTGCAGTGCCCCCTGCACAAAACCCCACGAACCTCCAGCTGCAGCCGTGGAGAGTAAAAAACCAAACGAGCTCGGCTTAAAGCCCGAGCTGGGGTGGAAATGCTGAAGAGAGAGGGTGACCCCGGCGTGCAGCACCCGGACCCAGCGAGGGGTCCGGCCACTGCTCCGTCCCTGCGGCACCACATTCCTGGGCGAGGAGAGGGAATCCCGCTGTGGCACCCATGTGTGGGACGTCACACCCCACACCCCACCCCGAGGTGTCCCCTGAGCTGGGCACAGCCCCCCCGTGAGCAGACAGGGCAGGGCAGGGCGGGCGAGCCGGGGGTCCCGCAGCCCCTCCCGCGCCCACCTCCAGCTCGGCGATGATCCGATCCTCGTCGTCGTCGTCCTTGATGGCCGAGGCGATGATGGGGGGGGTGGAGGCCGGCCTGACCACCTCGGACACCGTCCTCCTCAGCTTCACCTGTGGCTTCTGCGTCTCCAGCTCCTCCGACTCGGCCTTCTGCCAGCGGGGAGTGGGTGGTGAGGGGCAGGGGGCACCGGGAGCCGGGGCTGGTCCTGCCCAGCATCCACCCCACACCCTGTGCTCCCTACCTTCATAAACCCGGGCTCCTTCTTGCTGGTGACGATGACCTCTCCGCTGCGGGTGGTGGTCAGCCCGTGGGACGAGGGGAAGCTCCGGCGTGGAGGGGGAGGTGGGGGGGATTTGGAGGGTTTCTCGGTCCGGTACCGCGGCACCGTCAGCTCGTCTGGGCACAAACGGTGCTGTGAGGGCACGAGACCTTTCCCTGCCCCTCTCATACAACACCCCCCGGGCACAAACCTCCCCTCGGGGCAGCACGGACCAGCCCAGGTGGTGCCCCTGCGGCACCACACCCGCCCGGCCCCACGGGCAGAGGTGACCCCGGGCCGTACCTGAGCCCCGGCGGCCGTTGGGGTCCCCTTTGCCCCCCGATTTCGGCGCGTGCTGCGGCTTGGAGGGTTTGTGCTCGGGGGTGGAGGCGGCGCTGCCGCTGCCCGGGGCTTGTTTGTGCTTGGCAGCGAATTCCAGGTCGGGGATGGCCTTCATGAGCTCGGCCTGCGTCTCCTCCAGGAGCCGGTTGATGTCCTTGGCACTGTACTGGGTCAGCGCTGCCCGTTTCTCCTCCCAGTCCCGCTCGGCCGCCTGAGGACAGCAGGCAGAGCCTGCTCCAGTCCCGTCCACGCCGCAGCTCCTCCTGCCCTCACAGGCAGGATGTGACCCTCCAGCCCTGCTGCCACCCCCCCAGCCCGCTGCCGAGCCCGGGAGGAGCTGGGGTGCCAGTGCTGCCCCCCATCCCGAGCTGCACAAACCCCCCCATGTGCAATGGGGGTGCTCCCAGCGCTGCATCATCCAGGGCTCCCCCACCCACCAGCCACCCCAGCGAGGAGAAGGAGCTCCTGATCCCAGTTTCAGCTGGAAGACACACACAGACCCTCTAGAAGAGCCCCCCCGAGCTGAGGACCCCCCCCCCAGGCTCTCACCTCCACGGACACAGCTTTGTCCGCGCTCTTCTTGCTGGGGGTCTCCGGCCCCGTCTGTGTCTTGGCGGGCACCATCTCCGGGGCTCGGGCAGGGTTATTGCTCTTGGAGGGGTGGCTCTGGGTCTGGGGGGGGCTGTGCCCGAAGCTGGGCATGCCCAGGCTCACGGGGGGGCTGGTGGGCATCTCCAAATCCAGCCCTTTGCTGAAGTCCGTCTCGGGGGCCACCTTCTTGGGGGATTGGCTGAGGTTGCTGGGGGAGGTCCACACGCCCTCGTCCACTTGCCTGCCAGGGGCACAGTGATGGTGTTGGGGGGCTGCACGGCACTGGAGGGGCCACTGCACCCTCCCCATGCTGCAAAAAACCTGCTCTCCTGCTCTGATGGCTGGGAAGGGGTTGGGGCTGATGCTGCAGCCCGTTTTGGGGGAGCACACGAACGAGCCCCTCTGCCTGGCTGCCTGTTTTCGTGAACCTGGGAGGAAATCGGATCTCTCCAAACCCTTCCTCTCCATCAGATCTGGCTGAAACTGCCCTTTGGATCCAGGAGTTATCAGGGATGAGGATGACAGCCAGGCAGTTCAGACACTGCATGATCCTACAGGCTAATTTCCATGGAAAACCAGGCTAGTGATGAGCCCGAGGCGATCCCGGCGCTCGGCCGAGCCCTGAGCCATCCCGAGAGGTCTCCTAATGGGAAGAGGCAGGTGGGCTCCATGGCCCAGCCTGCCACGAGCATTACATCTGGGAGATGATTGTGGTTTTTTTTCTCCAGCAGAGCAATTCCCTGCTCCTCAGGAAAGGGATTTCTGATCACACCAAGGGCTGCCTTTCCTTCCTGAGATACAATCCCTCCTGTTTTCGAAGCAATAAGGAAAAGAGGAGTTCCCACAGACCTGGAGAGGGCTGAGGGTGGTTTTGAGTTCCTTAGCAGAAAAATGAGCCGTTTACCAACATCCCTTGGATGCTCCTCCTGCCCTGACTTTGGGATTTGGGATTAACGCAGAGGACGCCGACACACGTGGGGACACAGGGACAGCCGAGGTGTCCAAGGGGCTGGGTTTTGGGGCTCACCTGCGGATCTGGGCGAGGGTGTCTGTCACTGTCTTGCAGCGTTTGAGGAGCCCATCGAGCCGGTTCGGCTCCTCCTTGAGGAACTTCACAGCTTCCACCTCCACCCGCAGCACCACCCGCATCTTGCTCTGCAGGCTGGGGAACTGGGCTGGGGGGGGACATCGGGGTCACCACGGCCCCTTTGTGCCGGGGAGACCCTCCCAGTGCCCACCCCACACCCACCAACAGCACCATGTCCATCATACCCAGGGCAAGGGCACCCTGCCAGGTTGGAGCAGGAGGGGTGGATCCTGGGAAGCCCGGGTTCCCCAGGCCCCTCATCCCATCTCCATCCACCCACAGGCACCAGTTTTAGCCCATGAAGGCCCCTCCACATCCACGGGCACCAGGACACACCCAGTGCTGATGGGCACCAGGATACTCGCTCCAGGAATGCAGAGGGACACGCTGGTGGGTGCAAACACTCAAACCCAGAGGCAACGGACATCCTGGAGCATCCCACATGCACAGATGGAGCAGGGAAACACGGGAAGGCTCTGCTTGCCCCCCGGCCCATCCTCACCCTTCAGGTCTGTGAGCGTCTCCCCCAGCTGCTTGAGCACCACCGCCTTCTCCTCCAGCTCCTGCACAGGGATCAGCCGGTGATTGTGGGCCAGATCCTTCTGGATCTTCTCCACAGACTTCTCCAGGTCACTGCGAGCACAGAAGGAGGGTAGAGGTGTCACCGTTGTGCCACGACACCGGAGAACCCCGGGGAGGGCAGAAGGGAGAGGACCACCGGGTTTGGGGACCCCTCCTCAGGCAGGGACACGTCCCAGCAGCGGGCAGAGCCGCCGACCTGCAGCCAGGGAGGATCCGGCCCCTCAAGGGGGGTGCAAGGACCCCCTGCCCGGGCTCACTTGAGCTGCTGGGTGATGAGCTCCTCCTCGTTGAGGTAGCGGAGCCGCTCCTCCTCCACGAGGCTGCGCTGGCGCTGCAGAGGGTCCTCGTGCTTGCGCATGGTGTCCGTCACCCGCACGCTGATCTCCGTCTCCGTCCGCCGCAGCAGCGTCTTCACCGTCTCCTGGTTCTGCAGCTGCGGGGACGGAAAGTGGATTCAGGATGGGCAAGACCCTCCCCGGTGGGTGATGGGTCCCCACAAGTGGCCAGCAGGGTGTGGGGTGGGACCCCCTCGCTCTCCCACGCCGTGGGATATTCCGAGCGGGAAGGGATCCGTGAGGATGGAGTCTGGCTCATGGCCCACGCAGGGATCAAACCCACCAGCACCGTGCCCTGACCAACTGTGCCAACCTCACCCCGGCCCCACGCAAAGCCACCTTCCCCAAAAGCATATTCCCCAAAAGCCACCTTCCCCAAAAGCCACCTTCCCCAAAAGCCA